TGGCTGCTTTAACTTACCAAGATTCTGAGTTTCTAACTTGTTCATAAACGTGGCAATCTGTAAATTTTTCTCTTCACCAGCCCTTATGAGATTTTCAATTGCACGTGACATCGTGGCTAATTGGTCTTCCACCGAAGTTATGTTAATCATCATAGCCATCATGACATCTGAATAGGAAAGACCTTGAGAGCCAAAAATTTTCGAAGTGATTGATTGTTCCGAGGTCTCACGTGGTAACTCAGAGAATGAACTAATGCTAGAATTATCATCAGAAAGGGAACGAGGTGAATCCGGTGACGGGGTCTTCTCCGGAGCAATGTTAGAGTTGACCTTACGGATGTTAAGGGTGTTGACATGTTAAGTCTTCACACTCATTGATTCAGCGGGATTGGTTTTTCCCAAAATTTGTTGTTGTTTGGATGAAGCGATTGCTAGGGCCTTGCTTAGTGTCACAGGGCCAATTGAGGCATTTTCATCGCTTGAGAGGTTCTTAGTCTTCATGCCGCTTTTTGTGGCAACTTTGACGTTGACCTTCGCGGCAACGATGTTCTTTTGGATATTTTTGCTTGTCTGAATCTTGGGAGGTGCCATGGATTCTGATAAAGATGAGTCTTGATGATTTGATGTAGAAGAAAGAGATGAAAGGCAGGAAGAGTCCCACCGGGCTTGTTTGAAATTTGTACACACAAATTTTGTATCTGTAAAATAAAGAACAAAATAAGGAGCAAATAATAAATTTTATTACTATTTGATAAAGGGGGTACAATTCTCTGTAATATTCTTTACAAAGAAAGAATGTCCTCTGATTCGATCTGCTAAATCTTCGGTGTAAATGCTTCAATATTTGATGTTGAATCGGCTGCAACGAACTTTCTTCAAATCTCCAGGAAATGAAGGAAAGTTGGATTGATTTCTATTTGATAGCCGTAGAAGCTTAATCTCAAACAATTGAATGAAAGACTTTGAATAGGGCTGGCACTTGTAAAACGTGCTTATAGTCCTTTGTATTCAAAATGTTAAGTCTTCAAAGCTTTAAGAGGTGAATGTGTGTAGAATTCGGCAGAACTTTCTTCTTCTCTTCGGATCCCTTTCTCCTTTCCCCCTCCCTTCTATTTATAGACTTCATGAAGTGACAAAATAGTCATTTGAGTAACTTTGGATAATTATCACAATTATAATTTGGATAATTATCCTAAGTGATAATTATCCTCAAATATATATATATATATATATTAAGAATAATTATAATTTTATTTAACTAACCTAATCTCTAAGTGGGGCTGGTTAGTTAGCAATTTTAAATTGACCCATTAAAATGGGTTGGGTCAATTGAGTAGTTTGGTTGACCCATGACCCATATTTGGTAGTGGGCTTAGGTTGTTTGGCTAACCGGCCCATAATTTAAAGTGAGCTAGACTGATAGTAAGCCCAAATTATAGGTTAAACCCATGTGAATTTTTCAGTCTCTACAATAAAAAGTTCAAAATTCTCATCAACTCATCTGCTATGATTTTTCTTTTACCTCCAATTAAATCATAGCAATAATCGTAATCATTCCGAGCCTTAATTTTTTCTACGACATGAATATTTTTTTATGTAAATGATATAGATGAAGATAGGTTGAAAAAATAAAACTTTAATTGTGACAAAATATAAACAGTACCCAAGGATCATGAAGTCATCAGTTAATATCGATTTGAGATGTGTTATGGCTATCTGAAAATGAAGTAATGTAATTATTTTTTTAAGGAATAAAAAAAATTGAAGAAGAAATTAATTGTTAGTGATCTAACGGTATTAAGTCCCTACTTCTCAAATGAAGGTCAGGGTTCAAGTCTCTGTGGAGGTATGAATGTGTGAGTGTTTACCAACTTAAAAAAAAATTGAAAAAGAAGACCAAGAATGAAAAGAAATGAATAATTAAAGAGATTCTTAGAAAATAAATATATATTTTTGGGCTGGGGGTGTGTGTTGTCTGTATGTGGGGAGGCATTTTATAAGCATTTATAAATTATAGGCCCATGTTTAATTAAAATTAATGGGTCACGTATGGGCCACTGGGCCGATGCTTGCTTCCCATATATCTATACTTAGTAGGACGTGACAATTCGTATTCACTAGTCATAATCGTGTCGTGTTGTGTCGACTTAAAAATATTATTATACTAAATAGTTCAATTCGAACACAACCTATTTAATAATTGTGTCAAAAACCCTCAACACTAACCCGATTTGTTCATTAAACGAGCTATAAATGTGACCCGTTTAATGACATATTTATTAAAATAAAAATATTATATTATTTAAATTATTAATAATATATACTCAAACAAATAAAAAAAAAAGTAGAAAAATGTAAGTTTCAGTCCAACCAAATTACTAAAGAATAATCTCTAGTCTACAAAAGAAAAAAATTATAAGACACAAGTTTAGATAGTTATTTTAAAACTTAAATAAAAATTTGTTTATGACATTTATAATTAAATGAGTATAAACGAGATACACAAGTTGAACTTCTCAACCCGAACACGACCTGATTAACTAGACGGGTTAATCATGTCGATCCGTTTACGATCTGAATATATTTAAAGTCAATTCAAACTAGCTAAACTCATGTCGTGTTCAAATCTTGTTGACGAATTGTGTCAAAATTTACCACCTAGGATTTATGCGTGATTGCCAAGGTGATAATCTAATTGTATTTGAATCCCATTCTAATTCATTTTTAAGGATATTTTCTTCCCCAACCGATTTAGTAGCAACGTGGGACCATGCACAATTACTTTCCAAACATTATAATCCAAGGCCTGGAGGAAGATCCTCATTCTAGCTTTCTCACCACCCAAAATCTTTCTCCTCGGTCCTCACAGACAGCTGGACCTCCTTTTCCACAAATTCATCTCTCTGTATAATTCATCTATATTTTTATGTATTCTCTCTCTATTCAATTTTTTTTTTTCTTTCAAAATGGGTTATGGAGACCCAATTAACTCATGAACCTTAAGTTCTATAATTCTTAATTATTGTTCTTGATATTCAAAAAAAAAGAAACAGAAAAACAATTTGAATGTTCTCTTTTATAGATAACCCAGAATGTTGCTTTTGGAGGGGATGAGGGTATTTTGGTAATTCAATGTTGTTTTTTTTAAGGTTTAAAATAGGGGTGCAACTTGGTTTGGGAAACCCGAATCCAACTCGAGCCTAGCTCAATTTTTTCCAAGCTTGGGCAATCATTTTTACAATTAGGGTTGGGCTTGGGTTGAAAATTTTCAATCGGAATTAAAATAAGGTTGGGGTTGGGTTGAAATGCTAGCAACTCGAGCCAACTCGAACCCGAATTATAAAATAATCTTCATATATATTTTTACTTTAAAATACATTATATATAATATTTAAACTATGATTACATTTTTTCTTTTCAACTTCCTTTATTAAATCTTATCTTATTGTATGTTAACATTTAGGAGACTTAATATTCTAAGAATTTGTTTGTAATTTATTAAAAATTTACAAATTACAAAAAGTCTTTAAATTTTTCCTTGTTTAAGAGTAATTTAATTTAAAACTAATTCAAGATCATATTAAATTTTCGGTGTGAAGATTGGCCACATGAGTAACCCGAATTAACCCAAAATTTTAACACGAAATCTAAGCCCGAATTTAAAAGTAGAAGGATGGGTTATGCACGGATTAAGTAGTTAGGATTGAGGATAGAGTTAGGCTTGGGCTTGGATTTAGCATTTCATATAATGGGTTGGACTCAAGTTATACTTCAAACCCGCCCGAATTACAACCCTAGTTCAAAATGTATTTCATTACAACCAAGGTAATATATAAATTTTAATTTATTTAGTACATGATATCTGCAAATTCTGTTATTGACTTATGTTGAATGTTAAAAAGGGAGGTCTGTATACGTACGTAACAACATTTCATTTTTAAGGGAGGTTCAAGTAATTTTAGAAATCGTAGGGAAAGTCTCCGTAATTATGGCAAACCAAATGAGAGGTCCATGTAATTTATCTATCTATATATATACAGTGTGTGTGGGTGTGTGTGTATATATATATATACACACTTGCTTAATTTTACCAAAAACTACACATTAGAATTGACCATTTTTTGAACCAAACTAACGGCGGGGTTGTTTTTGTTACACACATGTAACTAGAGGGATGTAATTGTAATAGTCTAAAATACAATAAAAGTAAGTGTAATAAACCCTAATTAGAGGGGAGGTAAATATAATTTACCCATTAATATAACACGAGACAAAATCGAGAGTATCTTGGATGGTTGGAAATATGCTTAAAATAGTTGAGCTTCCAGAGGGGGGTGGTGCGCAATTCGTGTTCATAGGTCATAATCGTATCATATTGACCTTTGATTATTTTACTACATAGGTCAACCCTTGATCACGATCATTTTAATAATCGTGTCAGGAATACTCAACACAATCGATTTATTAAACGGGTTACCTCGTTTAACATGTTTAATTTAAATGAGTCATGTTACCGTTTATTAATTTAAGTATAAAAAATTAAAATACAATGAAAACAAAATTCACGAAAATGGGAATAATTTGGATAATACAATTACAATAAAACCCAAAGACAATAGCTATAGCTGTTGAATTTATATTGAAATAATAAAAATGGCACGATTATGGCAATAGGGTCTAATAAAATTAAATGGGTTGAGCTTTAAAACACAAATTTATAGTTAAACAAATTAATTTATAATTAATTGGATTGACACAATTATGACACAAACAAAATTAAGGTCAATCCAATCTCGTGTCGAGTTGTTGCCGGCATACTTCCAGGACTAAGGATAGGATGAAAGTACGCTGGTCTCAGTAATTTGAGAGGTTGACATGCATTTTAAAGATGATACCATTTTTTAAATGGCAGTTTAAATTCATTTCAGAAGGCGCACACAGCTCCTCAACAGCAAACATGATGAGGCATTACAAAGAACTTGCATATATGAAAACAAAGTTTACCGCAGCCACCATAAATCTCGGTCCCTCGAACGAGAAGAACAGAACTTGAACAACAAAACTTCCTCTCCAACCTCAACGACACTTCTTCGCGGACGTAGAGAACCGCGACACAGTGGACAGGTCATGTGCCCAAACCCGACCCATCTGTCTAAGCAGACTCTGTGAAAGAGGTGAACGCATCTGAGCTCTCGAATCTCGTCACCTTCTTCAATCTTGCACAGACACACTGCACATTCCACAGCTCCCTCAAACCCTTTGCCTTCGTAGCGCCGTGCGTTGAGATCTTCACCATTGTTACGCCACTGTTTATGCCGGAAGTTGAATTGTTGGAACAAGAAATTCCATCCTGATTTGAAACTGTTAACAGTTTTGATAAAGAGGGTTAGAATGACAGTAAAAAAAGTTGCCAAAATGCTCATATTTGCTGAAGTCTTGTGAGGCGGCTAGTAGTGAAGGCATACAATGTAATATATAGAACAAGGACTGAGATGGTGATCAATGGACGTATCAATAAGGACGAGAGAGTTATTAGACTTCAGACAGAAGGTACGTACTTGGGTGTTGAATTAGTGTGTGTCTTTCTGGTTTTTTTTGTTTCTACTATTAAATATATCATAAAATCACATGCCTAATTAGTTAGCTAGTTGTCACGTTGGACCTTTTCAAGCACAGCTTGGTTGAGGGGCGAGACATGGTTCATGCTTGGTAGCTAATCAATCTGTTGTAGATAGGGTGATGGTACTGTCTTGGATGTTACACGTATATACATTGTGTAGATTTTTTTGGTCATTGACTTCAAAAAAAGGTTCCAATGGTCTTCTTCTTCTTATAAATTCTACCAAACTGTCATTAGTATCATGTCGGGGATTTTTTTTGATATTTTTATAAAATTTTACTTTTAAGTTCATTCACATAATCTTATCAAAATTCACTTAAATTAAAACACTTATATATTCATATTCCAGTGTAATCATATCACAATATATATATAGTAGTATAAATAAAACAATATACTAAAGTAATAAGTCAGTAATATATATATATAAATAAAATCAATAAGAGAAGAGTAAAGAAACTTCTGGCCTGTGTAATGGAGAGGCACGCAGTATGCGCTGTCCTAAAGTCTTTACAGTCTCCCTACATGCAAGTTGTGACGACTATGAAATGCTCCAAGATACAACTCCAATGTCTTCAATGCGCACATTCACAGAGAGACGAATCACTAAGTCTTTGTGTCATGTTGCCCATTAAATCATATATATAAAAAATATTTTGGTTGAATGAGCAGGGGTTTTAAACATAAAGAAATCTGAAGAAGGAAAGTAAAAAGCGTTATAATCTATTATAATAGCCATATATTTATAGGCTATTTTCACACATTTAACCAATAGACACAACTAGTTGATTATAAGGGTCACACCTCTTCAAAAATAAGAAGTTTTAAAAACTTTTATGTTTTATTAAAAAAAACCTAACAATCCCCCATAAGATTTTAAAACTTCAAACTTCAAAATATCATACAAAGATATAAATATAGACATATGAAAAAATAAAATAACTTGGCAACTAATACTATGCAATAGGTGCAAGAGTCTACCGGACTTGAACTTGCACTTATAAGTGTTATTGTCTCCATTTGAGGAACCCGCGCAACTATGTCTTGAACTTTGCCCCTTTAATTAGACTTCAACATGTAGCACACACAATATTGACTTAAGACTTGGTTAGTGGTGTAGTGCTATTAATGGTCATGCGCTGATAACTTGATTTTCATGAGAGTTACCAGATAATAGCCTAATTCTCATAATCGCGGCCTCACGACTATTCTCACTTAGGTGAGTCCTCCAAAGGTACATGTGACCCCTTGCAAGAGTTTGCTTGCCTTGAACTTATTTAGGGCAAAACCCTTCCTAACATCACATTAAACAGCACTAGTGCCATAGGGATGGGTAGGTGTGGATCTTCATGAGAAACCTCCTAAAAAGATACTGCTGTAAATTAAATTACGCAGTACGAATTGTTTCTACCCATTGAACCTAATTCATGGGAATCACAAAGGACGGGTTACTTCCGGAAGTGACTCCCTTGAGGCTTAAGCCCATCCTCCTCGACACTTCTAGGATTACACTCCTAGAAAAATTAGACAACCTTAGTCTCATTATAATTTTCTTTCTCTATAGGATTCTAGGACTACGCTCATAGAAAGAAAAGACATTTGGTCTTTCTATTTTAATTCATCTTTGAAGTGGACGCGTCTTTCAACTTGTATCAGTAACTTATCTTAAAGGCTAAAGCAATATAGGTGTTAACTCCAACATAGAATTTTCTTTTGAAATAATATAAAGAAGTGTAATTGCGTATTTATATGTTTGAAGTAATTATGAATTCTTCAAGTGACGCACCTCTGTCACTTCTCCTACATAAAATAAGGCAATGAAATAATATCTCTAAGTTGTACCACATAAATGCATTCTCAAATAAATTTATTTTGAGTAATAATGAAACATATAATTGTTGAAATAAACAAATTCTGAACTTTAAAATAAATTATCAGAAAAATATAGCTTCAACTAAATTTACCCCCACATTTCAAAGTTATGATACAGATAACAAATATCATTTTTTTTTTTCATTATATATTATACACACACACACATATGTCTACCTTTTTATATATGTATGTATGAATTGTGATTCAAAATATTGTCAAGTTGCTAACATCATTAATAGTCTCATTGTCATTCACGTTCTAACTAAAATAACCTCAAATTGACATTATGTAACTATGACCATTGTAAAATCATTACAAGATATGTTTAAACAATTCACAAAAGCCGTTGTCACGCGTACATATATAAATTTACATTTTCATCTACTCTTAGATACTGAAAAGATAAAGACTGATTTGCATTCATATGTAATTCTATTTATATGTGAGACAGTATATAATTTTATTTTATTTTATTTATCATTATTATTATTATTATTATTATTATTTTTATCAAAGAAAACTGATCAATAAAATTTTAACTTAAACAATGGTAATAAACTTTCTGAATTAATTAATGTCAATTTATACAATTTGTTTATTGTATTTTTGAAGACACGACGTTTCATTATTTTCCAATTATCAAAGAGGTAGAGACGAGAATACAAAAATATATTAAAAAGGATTTATACTAAACGGAATGGTGTCCACCAAGTAGGGCTGCAAGTTGGGTTGGCCCAACCTAGCCCAGTCCCAACCCAACCTCAACCCGAATTGGGTTAGGTTGGGTAACCCGAATTATACCCAACATGGGTTATGGTCAAAACTCAGTCCGAATATTTTCAGACCGGTCGGATCGAGTTGACGGGTTGAGTTTTTTTAAAATAATATTTTTTTTAAATATATATATATATTATATATTTGATTATATTATTATTAAAAAACAAAAAAAAATTAGGGCAAATCATTTCAGCCTCCCTAATCGCCTCAGGTCTCATTCTCAACTCTCTCTCTTTCTCTGCAACTGCAAACTACAAAATTTACAAGAATCAGAAGTTCAAAACCCATATATTTCAGATCTGTATGCAAGAATCAAAAGTTTAAAACCCATATATTTCAGATCTGTAATTTTCATGTATCATGGAAACAAAGGAGAGAAATTTTCTCAAAGAAAAAATCATCACGATGTGACTTGTCCACCTTCCCCAAACCTATTTTTGCACAATATAGTGATTGGCGTATATTTTAAAGATAATAATAATAATAATAATTTGCAGATACTGGAAATGGAAAAGGAGAAAAAACTGAAGAAATGTTGTTCATTAATATATATATTCTCTCCAAAGAATTACAAATATGTACAGTTACCTATAGCAAGAAGTAGGTCCAGGAGCAGGACATGCCGTTCTAGAATATCTTTTGGAAGTTTTTCGTATATAAGCTGCTAAGTTAGAGACCATAAAGTAGGGTTACAAATTAACAGTCTGATCCATGAGGCTATAAAAAACCAAAGCTTTTTTTTTTTTTTTTGAATTTTCTCTTAAATAAGAAGGAGAAGATGAAAGAGATAGAGATGGCGGTGGATAAGCGACTGAGGGACGGCGGTGGCGGCTGATCAGCAGCTGAGGGTGAAGGACGACGGCAGCGGCGGTGTGGCGGTGGACAGCAGCTGAGAGAGAAAGAGAAAGAAGAGAGAGGAAAGAGAAAGGAGAGAAAAAATAAAATAAAAAAATTAATTAATTTTGGGTTTTGGGTTGGGTTCGGGTTGAGCCAGAGCCCAACTCGAATATGTCTAGGTTTTGACAAAACTTAACCTGAACATAAACCCGATTTGTGAATTATATGTCCAAATTTCAAAATTTTTGGGTTGGGATTGGGTTGGGCTGGGTTAGCCCACCCAAGTTGCAACCCTATTACCAAGTCCCAACGCTGCTCAGAGTCAATATTTCAATAATGTTGTAATTACTCATAATAAAAATAATTTTAATTTTAATCAAATTAAATGACTATATGAATATATAGAGATCCAACAGATATATCATACCAAATTTTTTATAAACTTCTTCTAGTTATACATTTTTGCTAAGAATATATAAGAGACGTGACTTTCACTGTTAATTTTATGTAAAGATGAAAAACTATTTCACATGCAGTTATAAACTTCTCCTTTAATGTAAGTGTCCTTATACGAACGCTATAAGAATGATACGGCAGCGATATAAAAAAGTTGAAAATTAACAGCTTCTCTCTGAAGATAAAATTTGATGAAATTTTAAAATTTCAACACATGCACCTTTTGTGTGTGTATATATATATATATAAGAGTTAATTCATGCCGAAAAGGAGTCTAAGTTAACAACAAGTCATGCTAACTAACCAATCACCAATTTCAATCAAATTTTATGTGTTAATTATATATATGCCTGTAGATATAATACATTATTGTTTAGAGTTATTCTACAAAGGATTCTAACTAAGTCATTCATATATATATATATATATATATATATTAAACATTCAAGAATGTATAAGATTCAGGAATTAAAACTAATGAAGAACAATTCCAATAAACTTAAAATGCTACATATATATATAATAAATAAAGAGTTTTACTCTATATCTCTTTTGTTTTTCATATAAAAGATTTTTTCCATAATTACCATATTTAGAGGTCCAGAAAGCAATTTACAACTAAACCTAATTACCACATTTAGATACCCAAAACGCAACTTACGATTGAACCGGTGTATATTAACCGCTCTTCAGTCTTTTAATAATGTTTGTACTTGTAACAATGCGTAGTGATGAGCGCTGAAAAGTGCGTATTTAAACCCCTTAAGCTTAGGCATTCTAGTACCTTTATCTATCTTACTTTACCGTTTTAGATTGATTTCGTATTATTTCCATTTTCAGGCACTTATCCCGAAAATA